GCTAGACTGGGAGACACAGAGCTTGGTGGGCTCGGGGGACCACGACAGCACAGGCCTGGCCACGCCAAGCCCTTTCCTTCCTGGTGCGCCAAGGAGCTCATTCCGCAGCTTGTGAGGAAACGCAGCCCCTGTCAAAGGCCACACCCCCCCGAGGGTCCTGGGGTCCTGGGTGGCATCTGGGCCCCCACCCACCCACTCCCCTCAGAATTGCTTTCACTGGGTTGAGCCTGGCCTTGAGGCCATCAGCGTGGGAGCGCGTGCGGGTGTGTGGGCCCCAGCCTGTGCTGGGTGCTGCCCTGCCTCCCGACGCACCTGCTCCCGGCACCACCCGTGCGTTTTGGGTGGGGGCCTGACCGTGACGCTTGCCCGTCGGTGCCAGGAATCCCGTGTAAGCCAGACCCCACGGTCGGGCTCGGAGCCCTGGCCGGTTCTCACACCTCTGCGTAGCGGATGTGAGCTGTGAGCTCATTCACACAGCCACAGCACAGGGGGGTGGGCGGTTTCACGGCCAGGCCTGGTGCTATCTGGGTGCGGCGGCCCTTCCTATGGTGCGCCTTAAGCACCTACTGTGTGTCAGGTACTGCCCAGGGCCCAGCGCAGTCCTTACTGTCTCTTCCATTTCTCAAAGGCACTTGCACTCCTAAGGGAGGGGTTCGTTGTTGCTCTGTACCTAAGTCTGCGGAGGTCAGCCAGGTGAAGCACCCACCCAGGGAGCAGACCCCACTGCACTGCTCCTGCCTCGCCCTTTGCCCTGCTGACCCGTGGCTCTCCTGCCTCTGGCCTTCCCACGAGGACCAGAGCCCAGGGAGAGCCACCGGGCTCATCCTAGGCGCCCTTCCCAGAACTGCCCCTTCTCAGGAAGCGGTCCAGATGCCCCAGGGAAGCGTTCCTGGCTCCTCTGAACTCTCACCTGTCCCCTGCTCCTATGGGCCTGGGCCTTCGTCCCTCTGAGAAAGTCACTTCCTGAGTCCCAGATCCACCTATCAGAGCCACCTTTCCCTGGCAAAGGCTAGGTGCAGGGGACTGGTCGTGCCTGTGCCTGTCGGGGGCAGGAGGGCAATGAGCCCCAGTGAGGCACTGGAGAGCCCCCACAGGAGCGAGAGCCTTGAGGCTGGGGATGCCAGGGAAGGGCGGGGGGGTGCTGGGGAAGGGGGGAAGGGCTGGGGGGTGCTGGGGAAGGGCCGGGGATGCTAGGGAAGGGCTGGGGGGTGCCGGGGAAGGGCTGGGGATGCTGACTTGGTGGAAAATGAAAATGCGTATCAAGAAAAATCCCAAGAAGGCAGGGGGTGCCTGGAAAGTCTGCCCAAAGTGGGGACTCCCCACAGACTGAGGGCTCCGAGGGAAAGTGGGAGACGGGCCAGTAGCTACCTGAGCCTTCCTGGGCCTCAGCCCCTGCCTCGCCTCCCGAGGGCCTGAAGTTGGAGTCTCCAGGACCCACTGGCCGGGCTACCACCAGAGGGAGTGGGGCAGGGGGTGGGGACAGACATCCTGCTGTGACACTTGGCAGGAGTCGTTCAGCAG